AACTCACTTTTAAATACCACAGCTGTGCCTTTCAAAAGAGAAAAATGCTTATTTTGGTTCTGGCCACATACTCAAGTTACTCAAAATTTGCATTAGAGATATTATACCCTGAGATTGATAATACTCCAATACTACATAAACTATATTTCTTCAAAAATTTCACCTTTACCAAGTTTATAGTCAGATTGTACCTAATTTAATTCATCTTTCTTGTGATGTACTACTATCCTTTATATACATTTCATTGTGTGGTCAGTACTAAAATTTTATTTTCTACTTCTTTCAAAGAACATATTAGACAGTTTAAAGCTCTGTTTTCACCAAGCAAGAGCTGTTTTTTTTTTTTTTTTCACAAATTCTCATTTTCATCTTAGAATCCAAAACACATAAATTTCAGTATCACACAATTGTGCAGGTCATACATAACCCTTGACCAAGGCGATTAGTATTTCTTTTCTTTGGTTAATTAGCTTAATTAAATCTCAATGTTACAGAAAGAAATACAAGAACATAACAATAAGCAGAACACCTTCAGAGTCTGTATGTGACCTCTTGGGGAAGAAGATACAGTGGAAACATGATTAAGTTGATTTAAATAATATGGGCTCATAAATAATAAACATCTCTTTGAACTGAAAAACCTTAAGGCTGGAAGGCACAGAGTGCATGGACCTCAGAGGGAAGGAAATGTCATATGAGAAGAGAAGAATGGAGACAATGGAGTAGGAGCCAAATAATACAGCGATTTATTTCAACGATATTGCTCTTCATTCTTAAAGGGCTGGACTTTAAGCAGGGACGATGGTGTCCTCACTTATATTTTGAAACTACTGCAGATAGAAGACTTAAAAGGATTAAGAATGGCTGTGGAGAATTTTGTTAAGGAGAAAATGAAATGTGATGTGAAAGTACGGTAGATTTCATAAATGAAGTCAAAGTAAAAAGAATTAAATGAATATATAAGAGAAATGGGTGGTCTATTTTGCATTAGCAAAATTAAAGGTTAAATTTTCTGCATAACTAGAAGCAGATATTTTTCTTATAAAACAAGAGGCCTTCATATTAACTTATTCAAGATCCATCTTTCTTCTTTCTCTTTCCATTCCCAATCCCTTCCCTTCTGATCCTCTCATCCATCCTCACATCTGCTTTTGTCTATCTCTTACTTAGTGTAAATCTAAATGTGGAGGAGCTAGGAATACAGCTCAGTGGCACAAGCATCTCTCTGGTAAGTGCAAGGTCTCAAGTTCAATTCCTGGTACCAAGAAAAAAAAAACAACAAAAAAAAAACTTGCAGTTAATGGGGCCCAGTACCTAAAATGTAATACACTATTTTGTAGTACTCAAAATGTTATATATTATTTTGTAGTTTCAGCATATAAATAACATGTCTCTGACAAACTAGCTGAAACAGGTTATTTTGGGCATTGTTCTATTCAAGTATGATTGAATGTGGATAAATTGTAATTATTCTTTAAGTTCATATCATGAAAAGTAGAAGAGCCAACACTTTTAAGAGCTTATTGTGAACTAAGAATGTATATCCCATATATCTTAGGCATTAATCTTAATCTCTGTGACTATTGTACACATTTTTTGCTATAGATACATAAATATAAGATGGGTAAAAAAAAAAAAAATTAAGTAACTCGTACAAGATCCACTAGCAAAATAAGGAAAAGAACTGATGTTTTTAGGTACATCTAGTCTAAATGCTAACAAATACACAATAACATTCATCATGCATTTTTTATAGTAAAGTTGCAGTATTGTTTTAACTTGCACATAGACACAATGCGCCAACTCTTCCTTGTGTTGGCTAGGGAGAGAAAATCTCATCTACCTTCACATGACCCTTTTGTTTTAGAATTACAAGTATTTCTAGCATTTCCTTGGAAACTTTTCCTGCATCTTCAACTGTGGTATGGTAAATTGTGCTATTAGTGCTATGTTCTAATAAATATTATAAATAACTAATGTCATATTTCATTACATTTTAAGCATAGAAATTATGAACAATATAGAAAACAGAAAAGGCAGCTGAGTCATTTTTTTTGTTACTGTGATAATATTATTTTTGATCATTGTTAACTTTCTGTTTTTTAACAAATCCTGAAACAATTAAGCAGGATCTAACATACTGTGTGGAAGGCGTATCACTTACAGATTTCTAAAAGCCAATAGTATAATCGATATACTATTTTCGAATAGTATAACTGATACTCTGGCTGCAAATCCAGAAATCCTTTCAACTAGCTTCATCAAAAGAAAAATAATACTGGGTGACAAAGGGGTCTACTTTTAATGTGGATATGGCCTTAGAGCAGGGTCAGACCCTCCTAAGAGGCAGGAATCAGAAACTGGAAAGCTGTTTGGAGCCCAGGCTGTACCCGCCGGTCTGTCCCTTTTTTCCTGTTCTCTGTTTCTGTTTCACTTATTGAGCGATTTCTTCTTTTAGCTTCACACTGTTCTTGTGTTCCCTTCTCTCTCTCTTTAAAAGTGGATAACCAACATTAGACTACATGTTTGATGCTTAATTCCAGTTACAATGGAAATAATTCAGTGGTGTATTCATAAATTTACACTATCTTCTTAAGCTTTTATTTGAAAATGCATCATCTTTCAAGGTTTCTATTACTTTCCCACATGTAACACAAAGAAGGTATTATAGATATAATTTTCTTCTCCTCCTTTCACTTTCTTATTGGTTTCACGAATATCATTACATTTAGTTTTCAACAATTTGTTACAACTACTCTTTGGAGGTTCCCCTCACCCCACCTCTCTAATTGTATTACCCATGCTCCTTGTCTGCTGGTTGAATTTTAAAGCCACTTAGAAATCTGCGAATATTTTTCATTATGTCCTGAGTAGTAAAATGGGATACATAAAGAAGGAATTATATCTGTAAATGTTGACATTCAAAGGAAGTTTTTCAAAGCACCCATAGCCAGTATATTTTCCTTTTGATTGTTCAGAATCATACCAGATTTTGTTTACTTTTAAGGTCATAAAAGTTTTGTTAGTGTTTTGGTTTTCTCAGCTTAACTTGACATTCTGCTTTTCTAACTTCTGATGAAAAGACACAATACAGTTAGCCTCTTAATAAAAGATGTTGAGTATACATTTCAATAAAGACATTTATTATCCATGCAGTTTTCTAAATTCCTTTTTAACTGAAAAAGTGAAATACAATGACAACTCATATTTTAAAATATTTTGTCCTTCGCAAAACATCTTTGTGTTTGTTTTATTAATTGTAGAATTCTGCAACTACTTAACTGCTTTACTTCTGCTGATGAAGGCACACACACTCCAAGTCTCCTTGGGCAGATGTGCTTTTGGGTCTGGAGGTTTAATGTCCAGGTTTAGCTTTTAAGGTTCCTGCAGCCCTGCTCTTACAATGGCCACTGGAAAGGGGAAAAGGAGAAGCACTGACTGACCCAGATGTCTCTTAAATAGTGACCATAGTAAAGGGGCCAACTATTCCCAGTTATCATGACGGCCAATTTGAAGTCTTTTGAACTTTGAGTTCAGAGTTTTGGGTTCTTCTCCACTGAAGCTGATGTTTTTCCAGACCTTGGGTTAGGACCGTGTCTTCCACCTTGGCTTCAGTCCTCTTCTGTATTCTACTTTTGACCACACAAGCAGTGCAAATCCACTTAATTTCTGTATTCCACATATTAGGCACAACATACAGTTAATGGATACCTGTTCCCCTAATCTATAGATTAATTTGTCATTCCAAAATTTTACTGCCATCTTGAATCTAGAGAAGCTCTCGGCTTTTTCATATCAGAATTTTGAAATTGGCATCTGGATCAATTAAATATCTTAGATAATCTTAATAAGTATAGATAGATTTTCCTACATCTGTTGTTACTAATTCCCTGCACATATTAATTTGCATTACATTTTAAAACAAATATTATTAAATTTTTCCAAATTCTGTGTATTACTAAGCAGATAGTGGGTAATTATCTATTTCAGTATCTCAACCCAAATGTCCATCCACTGAGGAATGGATAAAAAAGGTTGTGCTATTTTTATATAATGGAATATCACTCAGCTATAAAGAAAGATAAATTCGGGGCTTTTATAGGTAAATTGTTACAACTAGAGACCATACTCATAAGTGAAATAAATCAGACCT